GAGCCCGGGGGCTGTCCGGTGTTTCGCAACGGCGCTGTGAAATCCTGCTCCCGGCAATGAAGAGGAACTTGGAAGTTTCCTTCCAAGTCGTCTTGTGCTGTGGTGCCACTTCCTCGTTTTTCGTCCCCTTAACCCCCTCCGTGACCTTCGACCGCCCGTACGGAAGAGTCCTGGCCGCCCGCGGTTGTTTTGATGGGCGGCACGGCGGAGACACTGGGCTCAAATCCGGACCTGGGGATGCTGTCGTCTGCCGCCCCCCCCCCACGGTCTCCCCGTGTCCAAGTGGGGTGGGGTGTGGTGTGGTGTGGTGGGTTCTCCCCCCCCACACACACACAAACAGACCCTCTGCCCGTTTCCAGACTGTTGCGAGCTGGGGGTTGGTTTCACCCCCCACCGCTTTCCCACGGTACCGGGGTACACAGCCTCCCGAGAGCGAGTTTCAGTTTCGGCGCGCCAACGAAGGAAGTCGTGGGAGGTCACGCAAAGTAAACACGCACCCCAGCCCCAATCTCACAGGCCCTCCGCTTCACAGGAAGATAAAAAAAAAAGTGTTTATTTCATACAGATGCCTAGTTTGGCGTCCACGCCCGCCCCCACGCGTGTAATGTCACCCGACTTCAAACAAACGGCAGCTGCCGACTGCTGCAGCTGGGGACCCAAGCTCCTTCAAATCACTGCGCGTCTCCGAGCTACAGCTCGGATCTCAAGGATCACATCGGTAGTGTTTTGTTTTTCTTTTTGGAGCCGCCGAATGTTGTTCTTTGAGCGGCTGGTTTGTATTTTGAAGCCGCAGAGATACACTCGGGTCGAGGCAGACGAGGGGGCCTGTATCTTTGACTCTACACCGTACATACAAAGATACAAAACAAAAAAAAAACCCACTCACTTCCTGTCTCTCAGCCCACTGGGGGGGGGATAAAATGAAACTTTTGTCTTGATTTTCTCAGCCTATCCCCTCTCGGTAAACCAGCGAAGACACGACACCGCCCGAGCTTACCTCCGTGCCGGTTGGGGACTCGGTACACACCGACCCACGCCTCGGAGACCGGTCTGGCTTGGGAGCCCCGGACCCGGGACGAGCGGGCGGCGACGTGCCGGCCGACGGGCAGGCGCTCCGAGAAGGTCAGCTGGTGGGAGACCCGCCCGGTTTCCTCCACGGAGAGGCGGCGGTCGGCGGCGGCGGCGGCGGAGTCGTCTAGCCGCCCCGGGTCCGGGCTGTGGCCGCTGCCGCTGCCGTTGTTGTTTTTGTCGTCCCGGTCCTGCGCGGCCAGGAGGTCGGGGCGGACGGGCTCGCCGGGGCTGCCCGCCGCCGGGTCGGAGCCGCTGCGGTCCGGCTCGGGTTCGCGGTCGAACCGGCTCGGGAAGTCCACCACGAGGCTGGTGGGCCTCTTGCTGCGGGCTCGCCTGTACGATTCACGCGTGATCCCTTCTTTCTCCAGCACAGCCGGGACTACATCCTGCTGCAAACGGCCGGCCCGAATCCCCATTGGTGTCCGTATAAGACTCCTAATATCCTTATTTTAGGGTGGGGAAAAAACGGAAGAAAACAAAAAAAAAGATTCGCCTACAAATCTCCCCGCACAAACTCCTTTTCCCAAACTTCGTTGTTGTTGTTCTTCACCCTTACGGATCCGCTCGCTCTCTTTTTTTAAACTCGTCTCCCTGTCCTGTTCTCAGCTCACTGCTCAAACCGACACCCACCCACACACACACACACGAGAAAGAGGAAGTCGGCCCTTTTTTTGTGTGTGTGCTTGTGTGTGTCTCCTGGTAGCGTGATGCAACTGTACTCGGCGGTCCAATCGCGGAGAGGGAAAGGGGCTGAGACACGTTGTAACTCCTACGTTTGAATTTATTTCTCCGAGACGCTTTCCGACAGTCTGTGCAGTGCGGGGCACTGGCGGTGGGGAGGGAGTTTCTTCACGGTTTACAGGAAACCCGCAGGAAACCCGGTTCCCAAATCGCCACAGAAGTAGTTCTAGGAAAATAAACCCACCCGCTTCTGTGACACTGTGCCCCTCGAAACCCCTCTCTCACTCTCCCTTTGCCTCCTACGCGGTGCCGCCGATGAGCTGGCTTCCGAGCACAGTGCAAGCTGTTTATTTCATGGCCTGACCAAGCGCCGGGCGAGAGCAGCAGTCGCACGAATATAAGTTGTTGTTGCAAGTAAGGACCCGAGGAGCTTTCCCGGCGTGGTCGACGAATTACAGTGCCGCCGAAGCAGACACGATAACCGCAATATTTTACCGACGTTTACAAAGGAGGGGGACATATGGTTGGATATGTAGACGTAAGGTTTAATCTCAGCCTGATCCGACGACAGTCTTTCCAAACGACCGCCCGTAAGGCATCGCTGCAGTACAGGAGGCCAAGTCGAATGCGGCTCAGCGAACACACCCCTCGGGTGGCGACTGGAGACGGCCCCTCTGAACCGTTTTCTGATATCCCATTATTCAGACTGCCGTTGGCCCAGCTTTCTGATGAACGAAATGAGATGAAACCATTTCTGGCTACAAAAACCGTCTGGTGTGTCGCATCGTAAATCCCATCCCGAAAACTCAAGACGGGACATGGGGACAGTTAGCTACGTTTATTCCTTCGCCGTGACAGGAAAATAACATTTGATTGAGCTGTTCGACGACTTACATATTTTTCAATATTTCTAAAAAAAAAAAAGAAACGATTTTTCCCCCACTGTATTAGAAAATGATTTGGGAGGGGCACTGACCCCTAATGTCCTCCCTCCCCTAGCGAGGCTGTGAGTTAAATTCTGCAGTGAGATGCAGGAAAGAATTTGAAGACGGGAGCCGGCGTCTGAGCGCCGTTAACAATAAAGACAGACGGGAAAGCGACTAAATTCGTCCCTGAAATTACTGACGCTCGTGTTGGTCTTTCAGTAACGCTACAAAAAAAAACACGACTTTGATGGAGTTGGAAAAAAAAAGTTTGTCAGAAGTGGGATTCGAACCCACGCCTCCAGGGGAGACTGCGACCTGAACGCAGCGCCTTAGACCGCTCGGCCATCCTGACGTGT